AAGTTGGACGATTAGAACACTGAATGTGAAGGTGTAATATGTGAAGTTGAAGGAGAAGATGCAGATGATAAGATGAAGGAAGAATATTAAAATGAAGAAGAAAGTAAAAATATGAAGGAGGTAACTCACCTGGTGGACTATGATAGCTAATATGTGTTGTGTTATTGATGGGAGGAAGACTAAAAGCGTGAATTTTATAAACTTTAAATACTTAGAGTACTATCGCACTTGTTACACTTTCAAATGAAGGAAGACTAGAAGGGTGTAGACTTTAGAGATCTGGTATGTATTGTGCTACCAAGGGGAGGAAGACTGAAAACTAAAGATCTGAAGACTCTAAACTTTAGAAACTTGGAGTAGCGAGTAAAAAGTAGACTGGAAGTGTAAAGTATTAATATTTTTATTTTTTTTTGTATATTTTTAATATTATATATATTTAATGAATATATAGAGTCGGGGCTAGATTCAAATGAGTTTTTTCATGCCAAACTCGAATCCCTTATCTCGATTGAATAGATTAAAAAAATCCACTACGATCTAACTCAGTTTGTTTTTTTGTCATCTCTAATCATGGCTCACTAAAACTAAGTTCAATTTAAATACTGCAGTATCATTAACACGCTGGTAAGTTAAGCTGTTGACCTTAATCAAGAGTTTACGTTGATCACTAAAGTGTAATACTATTAACCACTACACCATCCCGTTTGTATTTTAATTTTTTAATTTTATATATGTTATATTTTAATTTGTAATTATATATAATTAAATTTGTTTCAAATTCAATATAAATACTCAAAGTTGTTATTCCGTTTTAAATATAATTTTCTTCTTCCAACTTATAAAGTTTCTGATAAAATTTGACAAGTTATAGCAATTTATTCTTCTTTCTTAGAATTTATTTTTTTATAAAAAAAAGTGTTGGGTTAGGGAAGTACGGAACCATGTGGGTTAAAAAATTGACGTAATTAAGATAATAATTAACAGCCGGCTATGTAAATTATGTGAAACCAAACTAACATTGTAATAGCCTGGCGGAGTCAGAGGGAGGGAGGGAAAGAGGTGAGAGAAAGAGAAAAAGAGAGAGAGAGTTAAATAAATGAGTGGTGGGGATTAGAGGGTAGGAATGGATGGGTAGGATTTGATGGGAAGAGTAAATATAAAATGAAGTGGAAAAAAAAAGGGAAAAACAGAAATAGGGGAGAGGAGAGGGAGTCGGGCGACAAGAAGGAAGAAAGGGGAAGAGGAGAAAGCGGAATCGATGATGGTAAGTCGAAGAAACGTATCGGTGGAGAGGATTGTTCTAAGCTAAGAAGAAATGGAAGCTGGAGGTAAGATAAATTTCTATATTCAAATGTTAATATGGTGATGTAGGGATTTCATTTCGGTGTGGCCTACTGACATGGAGGAATTCCGAACAGGAGGAGGAAAGGAGGTGAGAAATGGCTCGGGAGTTGAGTGTATGAGAGGTAGAGGGAAGAGGATCAGCTGAAACGTAGTTAGGACTAGGTATGGTGAAGTTTGGGGGCGGTTTCACTCGCGATGCACCGATAATCAGAGCTGGTGTCGGCGACGGTAGAGTAGGACTTGGTGTTGGCTTAAACATGTATTCATTGCCGAGTAGGTGGTGTGTATGATGTGAGTAGTGTGGCGTGTGTGCGTTGTTGCTGTGCGTGCGTGAGTAGTTCGGAGTAGGCCGGTGTGTGTGTAGGTGTTCTAAAAAAGTCAGTCGGGGTGTGGCCACTGGAAGGCCGGTGTGTGATCAAATGGCAGTATGCTGCCGAAGTGAGTGACCGTGAATGGTCGGTATGCATGTCTACGTGTGTGGCAGTGTATAGTCGGATGGGAGGGCTTGACGTGTGTGTGTGCGAGGCCGGGAAAGGTCGATATGTGCGTGAGTGATAGGCTACTGCCGAAGTGTGTGGTCGAGCGCGGTCGATGTGTGTGTGTGTGTGTGGCAGTGTACAGTCGGTGTGAGGCTGGAGGACTTGATGGGTATGTGAGTGTCTGTACATTGCCGTTGTGAGTACCTGTATGGCCAAGAATAGGCCGGCGTGTGTGTGTGGCTAAATGAAGCCGATGGTGGAGTGATGGAAATGGGGTGTATGTGTGGCCAAAAAGGTCGGGGTGCGTGTGTGGCCAGAGGTAGGCTGATGAGTGGGTTGTGTGGCAGAACTAAGAGATAGTGGGTAGTATTTCAAGATAAAGTAAGAATAGAGTCGAGTGAAAGAATGTGAGGGTACGGTAAGAAGATATGAGGATGGGGAGTGGGGAAATCCTAGAGTGGATGTCCAAAAACATTTTCATATTATATTTGAGCATTAAATTTATTTTACTGAGCTAAATTATGTCCATTATATATTTTTGGAGATGTAGTGAGACTGGAAAGCCACATGGGAGATCTCTTCTAGGAGAAACAGGAAATCAGAGAATTAAATGTATAATAGATTGTATAGGACGTTTGTCCATTTGATACTACAATAGTGACTAAGAACATACCATGAGTTCTTTATGTAGATTTTCCTTCTTGTTATTGTGGAATTGAAATTTGAATGATGAATATATTATTCACTAATTTTGATGATTTTAATTACATAAGATGTAGTTGATTTGAAGATTTGTGGTGGTGATGTGTTGGGATATGAGGTGTGGGTCTAGGAGCATTTTGAATGTCACATTTAGTATCAGAGCATATTCATAAGGTAGGAGTATGTAAGACTATAGTGATAGTATAGTTTAGTAACTGACGGGAATTGTTATGATGCAGGTAGACAAGGAGAGGGGAGGAAGAAAGGTAGAGGTCGGCCTCGGAGGGAACCTACTCCAACCCTTCGAGACCCACCAATAGCACCATAGGGAGTACCTTCCTTCCACCAGGTGCCCCTCTCTACTTCGCAAGGACCACCCCCTTGTCCGCTTGTGCGCCCCACTGCCCAACAAAGACCCTAATTCACTCCACCAGCACCACAAGTAGGGCAGGTCACTGGGCATTCAGATGATTTCAATTGGTTATGCAGGGTGGTAAAAAGTTTGGCAATGATGATTAGAGAGAGGGAGTCTCGATCTGAGACCACTTATACTCCACAGCATAACACGGGACATGGTGGAGTAGACACAAGTAATATCAAAAAGTACTGAAAACTCAACCCACTGGCTTTCAGCGGGGACTCTGACCCACTGGTGGCCAAAGACTGGATAAGAGAAACCAAGTTATTTGAGGTGATAGAGGTTACTCCGGAACATAAGGTACAACTAGTTACTTTTATGTTGAAAGGTCCAGCAGAGAGGTGGTGGTGCCTAAAGAGGGGAGCCTTAATTCCCCTGGTGACTTGGGAAGTCTTTCTCGAAGCTTTCAATGCATAGTACTTCCCAAACTTTATCAAACAACAGAAAGAGAATGAGTTTTCAGAACTCTGACAAGAGAAATTATCAGTGGCTGAATATGTTGAGAAATATATAAGTTTGGGACAATTCACTTCGGAGGTCATAATGAGTGAGTGAAAAAAGGCCAGGAGGTTTGAGAAGGGATTAAGACCAGAGCTACATCATCAGGTAGCAGTATTCGCTCTCTCTACCTACCACGCAGTGTTACAAAAGGCACAACTAGTAGAGACTTTACAGAGAGAACAATATGGTAGAGGGTTCCCTAGTTACAAGCGAACACCACTACAATTCAACTAAATAGAGAAGAAACAGAGAACAGTACAAGACATAACCCGTGTGTGTGTGTTTGGTGGTAAGTTACTATGGGGTGTGCATGGCCGGGAAAGGTTGATATGTGCGTGAGTGGCACGCTACTACCGAAGTGTGGCTTGGCGCGGTCTATGTATGTGTGTGTGGCAGTGTACAATCGACATGATGATGGAGGACTTGATGGGTGTGTGAGTGCTGTACATTGTCATTGTGAGTAC